ATAACTTGACTTTCGAGTACCCTGCGTCGCCATTCTAATTCAACTGTTTGGGCGCTTTGTGCGACTGCGTTGGGACTTTGAGACGGAGGATCTTTTGGACGAGCAGAGGGGTGTCCCTTCTTGGAGTCAAGCCTTCAAGTTCTAGTGGCAACATACGTGGCTTTGGGCCAAGGAAATGCTTCAGGACGGGAATCTATCACTTTCGTATCACAGACGTCACGTTGCGTTGGTGAAATTGTTAGAGTGAACCCAGCTGGGGTGTAGTCCTTGAAGTGCTCTGCTTTGGCATTCGTCGCGTGTTTCTTTGCTTTTGGCACTTCTGCACAGCAAGGCGCAACAACGGTTTCTCAGAGAAAGCGTCAGTTTCACGTTGCAACATGCACCTGTGGGAAGGTAACTGCAAGATGAGTCTCCTCTGAAAGGGACCCTCTGCCAGGTGCCGTGGCAAGTAAGGGAGGGAGAGTAAGCCCCCAGTTTGCCTTGCGCTTCATCTCAGTCCAATGCTTTCCCGTGCTTTCTTCAGGCCTCAAGAGGGGTGCTTGTACATATTGCCCTCGGGCAAATGAACTTGATGTTCATACCCCTCGCCCCAAAAGGGGTGGAAGAAGGGGTATGTGGAAACCAGGGAAGCAAAGGCGTATGAAGAATGGGTATGTACTTCCACCCTTAGATAGTGGACTTGGCAAGATGTACCAACAAGTTCAGATGTTGATGACCGGCAGCCCATGACTCTTCCTTTCTCAGGGATCCTGTTTTCAGTTTGAAGTATGATAGTCCACCCAGAGAAGTTCCCGTTACGTGTAGAAAGGAGTTGATATGTTAGTGGCGTGTTTGTAGAATGACGACTCCTTGATAGCTCTTTGCGGGGCCCATTTGGATTGGGCTCCAGGAGAGTTCCTGCTTGTGTGTCTAACCCGCTGTAGGTGGGTTTTAATCATACGTAGTTATAACTGCGGCCACGTGTTGGTTCCCTCATTGCCATGGACTAGAAAACTGTTTGGATGCGATGTTTGTGGATTCACCTTTCTTCCCCCTGTTGGTTTGTTTTTAGTATTTGTAGTATTCTTTTGAGTTTAGTATCCTACACCGCTACGTGAGTTGAACACTCAGTGGGCAAGCAAGCAGGTTGTTTCAATTCCCAGAGCTTCTCATGCACCCTCAGGCCGCAAACCCCGCGCCGGAAGATCGCAGGCGGAGAGTTGCGATCGGCTCCCTTTGCTCGGCGGGCGGTTCCCCTTCGGCGCAGAAGATGCTCAGGTAGACCCCCGAGGATGTTTCCCAGGAATGGGTTCATACTGGTTGGGAGAGGGAGCCCTACCACCGCCTAAGGTGGATGGAGACCACCAAGGCAAGAATGCCTGGACCACTAGACGATTTTGCTAAGGGGTGCATGCGTCTACGGGGGGCGGGGGGGCTCTTTTAGGATTCTGTTCAATGTACGAATGAAAAGAGCGAGAATCAGGGCAGCTCTCGGAAAGCTTTTGTTGCCACCTTCAAGTTTTCCAAGGGGAAGTGACAAGTAAGTGTCGCAACAACCCACTCACTTGATGCTGCGCAACACATCACATTGCCAATTTGAACAACGTCAGTTCTTTAGGGGTATTTTAGGCTGGGTATGAAACGTATTCTCAGGAGCGCGCCCTTTTCAGTTTCATTTATCTTTGTGTGACCTTGGTGGTTCGCAGCCATCCGGTTCCTTAGCTATTTTAGCGGGTTAGTGTTTATTGGCGGATTTTAAATTGAGCCCACTAAAAGTTAGGCTCTGATAGCAGGGGATCTGAAAGCGGACAGCTCAGTGCCTGTCGCGTTTCCCGACTTCAGTCAATGTCGAGCCCAGTGATTCCATTTCCTCGTATAGTAGCTAACCCTGGGACCCGCCGTTTTAAGACTTAAAGGATAATGGCAATGGGTTACTTGGTGGCTTGCCCGAGACATACAAAAAAGGTGACCACTTCCTGGCGGCTCCCAGCCATCCGGTTCCTTAGCCTTTTAGCTTTTTAGTGATGAGTGGTAGTTTCCATTTGACCCACTAACAGCTATTCACCTTTGGCGGGGGATCTGAAAACGGGCAGCCCGGACTTCGTTTTTGCATTTCCCGGTCCTTCCGAGCTCCGCAAGTCGTTTTCTCCCGCCAGGACTTGCAGCTCCTGCGTGGCTCTGGCACCCAGTGATGGCCGCTCCGTTCAGGGACAGCTGGTCGTTATGAGTTCCGTAGCATATGTTATAAGTCCCGCAACTGATGTTGTAAGTAACATAACGACAAATCCCCGCAACTACCAGTTACGGTACTTAGGCCAAGCTCGATGCGGTTGGTTCTTCAGGCAAGCAAGTCAGTTTGGCTATGCGCTAAGAGTGCCTTCCCTTTCCATTCTTTCCAGGAATCCGAATCTTTCTAGAACCCCTCCGGAAACCCAGGGAAGACGGCTGGTTATTGAAAAGAACGATGGTTGAAAAGAATGGGGAATCAGCCCCTTGGCAAGCTGGTTTCCACTTCCAAGCCAAAAACCACTGCTAGGGGGTGGCACAGGATATACAACCAACATGTATAGCTGCTTTGTGAAGGGTATACATCCCGGTTTTGTCCCTGGAAACATGGAGCCCAAAGAAAATCAACCGCCACATCGTCTCAATATCAGAACGGTTGACCGCTGTGGGTAATTCGAGAAAAGGGATATATAATTACTGCCCAGTCTTCGCTTAAATGGCGTCATAGGAATGCTTACTGGAAATGGTCGTAGAGAAAAGGGCCCAAAGGGAGAATTATTTGAGCAGAATTGTTAGGGTTCCATGCTAATCATCATGTCTTCAAAATCTGTCCACTTCCACCGGTGTTGGAGGAACCACCGGTGTTGGAGGAATCTGCGTGATTTCCCGGTTTAGGTGCAGGTGTAAGGACTGGATTCGCACCATTGACGCGTGTCCGTTGCTTGGCAGGCAAGCATCCCAAAGGTTGGATATTATATAGATAGATAGATAGATAGATAGATAGATAGATAGATAGATAGATAGATAGATAGATAGATAGATAGATAGATAGATAGATAGACATATATATATATATATGTAGTCTACAACAAGCAACATAGACCCACTTTTGACGTTCTGATGTTGAATCCATTGACCAAACGAATCATATGAAAGCATTCACTAGTGGGACACTGGCAGCAATTCCTGGGTGCAAACATTGCCCATGTGCTTCAAGTTCCCCAAATTGCAGCAGATGTCTAGTATTTGCCACCAGCCATAGTGAGTGATTACGACAAGTTGTGCTAGCCAAATCGGGCAGTAGTGCTGCCCATGCAAAAGGGGCCCGTTAGCAGTGAGGGTCGATTGGGGGTTGAGGTGGCTATGCTCCCGGCTTGGATCATTGGGGCCGGCTTCGCTTTTCTTGTTCGCAGGGAAGGGGAATGAACCAGGGATTTTCTGAAAAGCAACAAGGGAAGTTGAAAAAGGGGGTCATGCCCTCATCCCCTGCCTATCGAACCAGCAGGATCCAATGGTTTCCAAAGCCCCCAACTCCCCCCTTTTTTTGCCGGAGGCCATGCACGCCGGACCGACCTCGGCGAATTCCAGGCGTGTTCGTACGAAAGCAAATTCCAGGCACGCTTGTACGAAAGCGCCTTCAGCGCAGCGCTGAAGCGCACTCGCATGCAGTCAACTTTCTGGTTCCTAGCAGTTGCACTTGGCGCTTTACCCAAAGCGAATCATCCGTTTAATGCCTTTTGGTCTTTCCATCGGTGGTTCCCATTTTTGTGTTCAGGATGCCAGGCCAAATTAAACGTCCTTTACTAACCGCCTTCGAGAAAGACTTGCATGTTCCCAGAGGCTCCAAGCACCAACCACATTTGAGGTCCAAGGGGTTTGCTTCAAGGGGATTCATAAAATTTACATCTTCCTCAAATCCGCAAATCTAAGGCACGGAGGGACCCTCAGGGCGTTCGTTCCGTCTGCTGGTCCCCGCTGAAGCCACGAGTTCAACCGGAGAGACGCAAAGGCTGCAGAAATGAAGCCTGCGCCATGAAATGTTTGCCTCAGGGTCAATGTGGATGGCCACCAATTTGTTCTTTCGCAGAATATTAGCTCCCCTTGTTTTTGATTTGTTGTTTTTGTTTTTTGTTGTTGGGGTCCCTTTGTTTTTTTCCCACTAGCCAGGCAACAAGCATATATTTTGTTGCTGGGGTCCTGATCCTCTTCCAGCCCAGTTCCTGGAAAGAGGATCGTGGACGAAACTTTTGCCATTTGCGAGCAGACTTCGGAGAGTGTCCTTGCGAGTGTCATACCCTGGAATTCGAACCATCATTTAAAAGCATGGGGGTCCATGTAACCGCCATTGTTTTGTGTCTCCCATTTTTTTCTTTTTTTATTTTCGCAAGGATGGTCATCAGCCAAATTGGGTCAAGCGTTCGTTCAATGGGGGTTGAAGTTTTGGGTATATCATATATCCAATCATCCCGCCTTCCTTCATGGTGGCTGGGAGGGCGGGGAGATGGAGCCCAAATGAGCCCTAATACGGCCTGATTCAGGGCGTATTTGGGCTCCCTCCGCGGCACCCATGATTCCTGATCAATCCAAGTCACCCTTCCAATCCGTGATCCAGACAAGATGGAACCACTGGTTTCGTTTTAATCAAGAGCCTCCAAGGCATGACGCTCTGCAAGCCGGCCAGAGGCAAACCCTGAACATACGTGCATGCTGGTTTGAGTGTCAGACCCGTTTTCGCCTGCCTTTACGACTTGTGTATTTTTCTTCGAAGGTGGAGTCACCGTTTTCATCCCGGCCGTGTCCATATTTTTTGCCGCCTGCCGCGCGAGCTTCCGGCCATCCTCGCCGCTCCTTTTCGCGCTCAGGGGTTTGGACAAAGACGCAACGAAACCGGTAGAAGGAAAATGCTCTCTGGAACAGCGGAATGCAAACAATAGGAGCAGTTTGCCTTCAGGATGCGCCAGCTTTTGGCAGTGGCAAAAGCAAGGTGCCCCTTCACGCAAAGCAAAACATCGCCGATGGCCTCAGATGGCAGCGGACAGGAGGAGATTCCAGGCGCGGCAAAACCTGATCCGTGGGCCAGCCTCATTTCTTGGGTTACGAGGACCAGACTTAAGCAGAGGAATTCCCAGACCTGATGCTTAAAAGTGAAAAGTGGGCGAAGGTCAGCTTCTAAGATGACTACAGGGCTAGTGACATGAATTCCCCCGCATACGGAAACCTCGAGTGATAGGCTGCGGTACGCTTGGCCGCTGCGACAATGCAGCGTCAGCGCAGCCGGGTAGAACTATCTCGACCTACAGGGCTATCTAAGAAGCGAAACTTGTCACATGGAACCTAACAGGGAGTTTTCTTTGAAAGGAACGTGGTCCAAACCAGGACCCTGAACGTCAGGTTCCATGTGCAAAGGGTGGGAGGATAGTTTTTATCATGCTTACCCTGGGGTTGTGAAAGGATTTGGCCACTGGCTCCATTTTGAAGAGCCCAGCTAGGCGAAAACCTGAGTCCCGCAAGTGGAGCTCTCCCGGTTACAGGTGCCTAGGTTAGCCACTTACCAGCTTGGGCCGAACACCCAAGTGGAAACCATCGGAAAAAAACAATCTCAAATGGGAATCTTGGGATTTGAAATCCTTGTAGACCTAACTGTGGTTTGCCCTTTGCGACGCAATGCCCTTGTTTTCTTAGTCCCATTATCTCATCCAAGCTTTTCACTTCGCCCTTAAAGCTTGGGGCTTATGTCTTCCCTCCCCTCCCCCAGGCTTTTGAGACATTTTGTTGTCGAAAACACCCACGAACCACGAGCTTTCCCCAGGAAAGTCAGCCATCAATTCCTTTTCAACCACGGAAATCCACTGGTTGTTCTCACCACCGCCGCTCGAACACAACAACTCCACCTCCGGCTCGTGTCGTTTATCGGCTGTTTAGGCGAGGAGCGCCGTGCCTTCCCCTCCCTACAGTCCTACGCACGCCAAGACCGGGTCACTCGGGCCGCCGGGCGCTTGGAATGGCGCTAGCGCCTTAGGGCCAGTTGTTTGGAGCGTGGGTGGAGTTTGGGGGAGGGACCAGGGTTGGACCGCCTTGGCCGAAAACCAGCTAGAGGCCAGAGTTTCGTTTGTACTGTGGATGGACAAAGTCCTGCGACACTTTGAAACCTCCGTGGTTCGTTGGTATTTAATTACTCAGGGGAACGATCAGAAATCAGGGTTTCTTAGGTGGTGCGAAATGCATTTCTTCCATCCACAGTAGTTAGGGGTCCCGTATTTTCCGGTTGCTGAATTACTCTGCTTGGCCGAGACTTGTGGTTGAGGAGTCTCCTCCATTTGAGACTCCATTTGCTTAAGAAGATGATTTGTTTTGCTCCCTGTTGGTTTTAATTGAAGGAATTCTATCCGATATGTCCGAATGACTTGAGCCATTTCACCTTACGTTCAATTGGTGGTTTGGCTTGCTTTTAGTGGTCTTACGGGGTGGTTTCCCATGTACCCTTTTAGCAGCAGAGTTTCGCATTCGCAAATGGAGTCGCATCCACAGTGCACCTAAGTGTCACTCCCTGAGGCCTACCTCCTGCTCGAAGCCAAGGAAGCTTCCAAGGAGAGGTGTTTTCCGGACTGTATCCAGTGGCATGTGGCCAGCGCTCTGGTCCGTTCACTGGGCATCTCTTACAAGTTTATATGTTTTTTTCTAGGTCTTCCAGTAGAGAGGTTAGAATAAGGGTACTAACTTTTTGTCTGTCTATTTTAGCAGGGGCACCCTCCCCTAAAAAAGTTGGTAAAAGGGCACTACGGGGACCTTGCCATTTTTTCATAGGGCCAAGAACCCCTACCTAAATGATGTTCACCAAAGGATCCGTAAGTGAAGTTCATACCCAATCGGATGTTCAACAGAAACGTCAGGCAAGCAGTTTATGTTATCAGTCATGAGCTGGGGCAACTGGGCCCAGCTCCCTAGCCACGGGCAAGCAAGAAGCCTAGCTACAGCTTGGACATCTAAACAAGGGCCGGGGTGTTATTAAACTAGGTCCCCCAGTAGTCCCCTTGTACGGGGGGAGGGTTCCCCTACTAAAACAGACTACAGAAAAAAGAGTACCCTTAAGGACCTGGTAAAACGACAGAACGTATGTTGCTGGTTGTTGTTTCTTCGCAATGCCCACGGGGAATGAATGCCTGTGTGCTTCTGTGATACGTGCAGGTTTACCTAAACCTGCACTCTAAAGTTTTTTTCCGTTATAGGCCATGCGAAATACATACTCAACTGACATGATTCGTATAGCACACTATCGTGTTTGGATACACACGCGTCTTTGTTTAAAGGAACCTTTGGCTGGGGCATGTCCAAACTCACAAACACCTAACGCACCGCTCAGTAACAGCCCGCTTCGAGTGTTTGGTCCAAAATGAAGGGGTTAGCCCATTCGCGTGGGAAACTATAGAAAGCTAAAGAAAGCTACAGAAAGCTACAGAAAGCTACAAGAAGCTACAGAAAGCTAACAAAAGGCTTTTGCAAGCCTCACCGTTTTTCACAAGGTTGGAGGAGACCTGTCCCATCGATTAAGCATACTAGCACAGAGCGCATGTCGGAAAGTGGCAGCACTGGCAAGCTTCAGTTGCTTCCCTACAACACTTCGAGGCGTGCCGCCAGCTACGCTCAAAGATATGAAGCACCAAAACATGTGCTGCTTGTAGAGGGTACCTAGGAACCCATGCCCCAAGCAAACCGACTGAGCCGCTCGACCCGACCCCCCCCCCCCCGGCTCCCCCGGTCGCGCGCGTGATCGCAGGAGCAGCTCGAGTTCTTCGAGACCTGGCTGAAGGTCGTCTTCGACGAGGCGGTGCCTGTCTCCTCCGAAGGAGGCGAGGAGAACAGCCCAGCAGCCCAGCAGAAGCCGAGTCGCAGAAACTCGGCGCGGGGCCGAAAAATCTGCCGGGCTTGAGGAAAATATTTATGTTGGTCCATTTTCCGAGCAATGGTAATAGTTTAGTACACCTTAAACATATGTTGCAGAGGCCATCAAAAGAGGAAACGGGCCGGAATTCAATGCAGACAACGGTTTGGATGTGCTTTTTGAGGATTTCGCCTGTTGTTCCAACTGTTCCTTTTGTAGCAATATGTTTGTACTCTTTCAATCAGGGGTAAGTCCACGAAAGGCATGTCCAAACTACGTATTTTCTAGAAGTTTGTTCGTTCCAACTTCAAGCGGTCTATTGGGTTAACGGTTAATTGCCAATTGTGGCTCAACTATGGGAAGCTTGAGCCCAGAAGAGCTCAAGACGGATTCTCACGGGCTCACATGTTGCTCGCTTGCCTTTGACTGACCTTTTGATTTTGCCCTTTTTGGGCTCTCAAATGGTGTCGTCCCCCCCAGGTCCCCCCTCGGTTTGGTTGCCAATTTGGGAGTTTCCTTGTGGTGACGCCTAGTGAGAACGCATGAATAGCCCCCAATGCACCTCGAGATTGCGATTGCCATGGGCTTTGTTTTGTTTGTCTTCAAGCTCCTTGCTAAAAGAGGCCGATGCCTGAGCTCGTGATTAAAAGGGGGTCGTCGTTCCCTTTGGTTGCAAGATCCCCCGCCTCCTTTGCGGGTCCCCTACTTATGTTTCCAATGTGTGCTTCAAGTTACCTGATAAGAGTGCGAACCATTTTTGAGTTGATCTGTTTGAAAGCCAACCTTTCAAATTTCCAATGTGCGCTTCCAAGTTACCTTTTGAGTGCGCACCATTTCAAAAGACGGACCTTTGATTCGCAGGTCGGACCCCCGCCCCCCTCCCTGTCCCCAAGGCTCCCAGTTACTTTGGTGGGCAACTAGAGGTACATTCAGTGGCAGCGGTTGATTCCTGTTCCATTCTTTTCAGCCACCCTTCTTTTCAAAAAACCGGATCCGTTTCCTCGTGTTTCCGGGGGTGTTATGAAAAAAATCGGATCCTTGGAAAGAATGGAAATGGAAGGTAGCACTAGAAGAGTGGCTGCCAATGACCCAAATACCAGCTGAGCTGAATCGATTGGATCCGGATCCTTCAAAGCCGGTGTCATCCGGTGGCTTTTTATGCCCTCGTGGCTTTTCTAGGTCCCCCAGCAATTGGTGCCCTTTTGCCGTTTCTTTTTTGGGGGAGGGTTCCCCTACTAAAATAGACAGAAAAAAGTTGGCGCCCTTTTTTCTAACCTTTTTACTGGAGGACCTAGGAATGGTCCTTGCAAAAATAGCAAGGACTTGATAAACCTGAGTAAACCTTGATAAGCGTTGATAGGCGTTGATAAGCTTCAGTAAGCCAGAGTAAACTTTAGTAAGCTTTAATCAACTTGAAAAAGGGGAAACTGGGAAGAAGCTCGTTTGGATGTATCCTTCAAGGACTCCCTTCGTGGAAGCCACCAAACCTTGTGGATTCGCATGGAGCGAGCTGCTGTGCCTAACGTGGCAAACCGAAAGTCGGACTTAGGTCCAATCCACTGAAGTGAGCCTCCCTTTCGAAACGACATCTCACATCTCTTCTGCTTTTCTAGTACCTTTTTTTTTAACGGGAAATCACCGTTTGGTAAATGACACACGCACACCCAACCCACGGTTCCCCGCTTAGCACCCCCCCACCCCCCAAGTGCCCATCCCACCTTCCCCCCACCTTCCCCCTCCCACCTCGCCACCTCCCCACCTCCCCACCTCTCCTCTCCCCCCGGGCACCCACATCCCCCCGCCTTTCCCCCCGCTCCCCGCCCTGCGTGGCACGAGAATATCTCTGCCAGGGGCACAGCTCCGAGTGCCCACGGACGCCGAGAGCTTCGAGCTGAGCATTTCGGGGCCCAAGGACTGCCAGTCGCTTGGGTTCATTCGCGACGGGTCGCTTGGGCGACGGCTCGCCGCAAACGCGTGCCTTTGACTCGGATTTGTTTTTGTTTTGTTTTATGTGTTTTTGTTGGTGTGTTGTTGTTTTGTTGTCTTGTTTTCTTCTTTTTTTTTGGGGGGGGGGATTGCATGTTTGGTTTCATTGTGTTTCTTGAGCTGGTTTGTTGGTGTCGGTGTCCTTGGAGCTTCCCATTTGGTTGGCTGCTGGTTTTATTGGTTTAGTCGCGGGGTTTTGCCATTTAGTGTTTCAGCCGGCTCGGCCATTGAGAGCATAATTTTTGGAATGGCTTGCCAGCATGCAGGCCAACGGGCTGATGGTGCAATACGCGCACGCGTGCGTGCGTGCGTGCGTGGGTGTGTGTGTGTGTGTGTGGGTGGGTGTGGGGGTGTGGGTGTGGGTGTGGGTGTGTGTGTGAGTTTGTTTTAGAAAGATAACAGATTCTGTGGTTTTCCTTTTGGGTGACTCAAATAGGGAACCTCCAAACCCCAAAATGGGGACCCTGGAACAAACTATCCCCACTCAGATCGATTACATGTTTCGATGCATTTTTCCTGGGGAACTTCACCTTCCAACCGAAGGACACCATTTGAGCCTCAAACCCTCCCACCCGGGTAGGTTAAGAGATAGTCCATGTCCTGCCATGGCGGAAACGAAACGCCGCCTCAAAACTCTCATTGTTGGGATCCACCATTTTAGTACTAAAATGGTAAAGAAACCAAGTTGCGACCATTTTGGTTCTAGTTGGGATGGACCATTTGAGTACCAAGTTTTTCGCTTACACTAACCCGCGGCCGGCGTGCGGCTCCAAGCCGGCCGGGACCGGAACCGCACCCCGCAGGAGCTGATGCTTCGACTGGCGAACCGCTTCTTAGAGGCGCGAAATGGGACGAGGGGCAGGAAGCGAACTCCTTTGGCGATTTGTGAGCGCCCCTTCCCTCAGATCGCAGCCCAGTTTAGGGTCGCGTTTGGATGAATTTATGGGTTATGGCCGCGGGTAGCTGGACACGGTTCGGGTTAAGCCATGGAGGTTCCTTAGATTTCGCCCAGATTCCCTTTTGGCGGGATTCCCAACACAATCGCACCCCCTGGGTGCCGTTTCGAACTTCAGTCAGTTTTTGGGCTTTGGTGGCGATTTTGGTTGTACATGAAAAGTTTGGATGGTCTTTGGCCCATAGTTCCAGTGCTTGTTTTGGCCAACCCACTCGATCCGAAGTGAGGGAACTTTGGGTGGTTGGATGTCTTAGTACCGCTGTGAGCTACCAAAATAGCTTGAAGACCCCTATGCGGTTTTGGTTATGACCTGCATAAAATAGAACTCAGGGGTGCTTTGTGTCGGTTTTCTCAGGGTTGATTCCCCATTTTCAACCATTGTTCTTTTCAAAGACCGGCTGTTTCCCCTGAATTTTTGATATCTTCCTGAAAAGATTCGGATCCCTGGAAATGATGGAATTCGAAGGTACCCCTAGAGGTTTTGTCCTTGGCATCTGGGCCTTGAGGGTTCCTTCTTTTTCCCTTCCGAGTGAGGCCTGCAAAGTGCCGGACCTGCGGATGATGCAGCAGCTGACCCAGCTGGAGCAAGAGCTGGAAGAGCCCGACGTGGCCTTGTGGTGTAGGACCGTAGGACTCGACTCGCGCCGGTTTTCTAGAGGTGCCTACCCCATTACCGGTGGGTTTCCTTGTTTTGGGTTCCCCCTTCTAGTGGCGCCAAAAGCTGAACACCGTTTATGTGTGGGTCCTTTGGGCATCATGTAGCTTAGTTGAGTGTGTGTCAACATCGGGAACCCGGAGCACGAATTTCGGTGGCCCGTTTGGGTTTGAACCTAAAAGGGGTGCCCTCAACGCCCATACACACACACACCATTTGGAGCATCCGGATTCTTGTCAAGCGCTGTTTGGATGAATCCTTCAAGGAACGCTGGTAGCCCCCCTCGGGTTGCTTGGTGCTATAGCCTATCAACTGCCAGCTTCACGAAATAATCAAGGCCAAAGGGGGCGGATTATTCTTGACTGTTTCCACACTTTCTGTTTAGCACCCAGTTTGGTTTTGCATGGCCCCTAAGATACAACACATGGCCAGTTGAAGGTTTACCTTTTCCGGGCCGAAGGGAAAACGTCTTTTTTCTTGGCGGGAATTGTGAGGTGGATGCTGCTTGGCAACTTCCTGTCTTGGCCAGAATGCCTGTCAGCATTCAGAGCACGCCCACCTGTCCACCGCGAACCGGCCTTTTCACCTTTTGGTTTTCCATTCTAGTCTCAAAAGGCAACCGGTTGTTTCCAGGTCCTTTGGGCAAGTCAAACAGTGCACCACAAGGCCACTCCCGGAGCATTTGGCAGAGATGCAGAAGGCACTTGCATGACGCCCTGGAAGTCAACTTAGCCAGGAGCATGGCTTGTTTAGTTGCTATAGTCTTAGTTGTATCTCTCAGTTGTTCAGTGGCACTTCTTTTTCTTTGTTGGCTGCCCCACTAAAAATGGTCCAAGCCCCAAAAAGGGTTCCCTTTTTTCCAAGGGCCACTGAACAACTGAGATCTGGGATTAACAGGGCTGGCATTGTCGATCCCTCCGACCTTGGATTGACTGCAATCCGGGGCAGGGGGTGGATGGACATGGGCCCATCTTGCAAACTGCTCTTCGGTTTCCTCAGAAGAAAGGTTACTTGAAGGCTGGCGGAAAAATATGAAGCAGACTCTGAGCTTCTATTTTTTGGCATACTCTGGGCTTGGGGGGGGGAGGTCGCGGTTGTTCCGGTTGTTCACTGACATCCTTGTTCCCTTTTCGGTGTAAGGGTTCTTAACGACAAACGGTCCGTCCCAAGAACCGATTCTGAATCTCTCTTTCTAGGCACAGGATGGTTGCATTTCCCCGTCCAATATCCAGGATTCATAGCTGGGTTGGCTCCCTTTCTCACCTCTTAATCACATCCTACGGAGATGAAAGGGAGAGACTTCATGTCTCCATCCCATGCTCTCATGTCCCGTCTACACAGTCTACAGTCACTGGACTGGGGGGAGGAGGCATGTATTTTCCTTCCGGTTGGTTGGTTGGTTGGTGGGTGGGTGGGTTGCTTGCTTGCTTGCTTGCTTGCTTGCTTGCTTGCTTGCTTGCTTGGTTGGTTGGTTGGTTGGTTGGTTGGTTGGTTGGTTGACTTTCCTCTCTTTCGATTTGGAGCTTCTCCACAATAATCTAGTCCATCCCAACCGGTTCCCTTTTTCCAGGGTCACCGGACTGACGGTAATTCTCCCGGTTGGTTGGGCTTTATCTTCAGGATCAAGCGCATGGGCCAGAAGGAGGAGGCGGTGGATGCGGGCTTCCACATCGAGCACTTACTCGAGTGGCTGGTCGCGGACATCGTGGTGCCCAAAAGCCACTTGATGGGGTCCTCATCTTGGTGCGCCTAGAGGGATGTGTGTCTGTGTGCTTGACTGCTATTGGGTTGGATCTTTAGACAAACTTTTTGGGAAATAAACGCGTTTTCCGCTGAACCCCCAAAAAGTTTTTCACTTTTTGCAGGGGGTCAAGAGCAACCAAGTGTGTGAGTGCTGTTTTTGGCACGCCTTAAAAACTTGCTGGTGCTCAGTAGGGAATGAGGGAATGAACCTTGGATTCCCTCAAAGGAAACCATAGGGAATAATTCACAGGGGTCATTCCCGCATTCCTTGCTGAGCGCAAGCAAGAAAAGCCTTGGGTGTTGGATATACCACATATTTGTCCCAGACATGTGCCGCGGTCAATGTGCCATGGTTAACGCGTCATGGTCGCTCACATGATCGGAATATTTGCAATGTTGTCTAAAATCCCCAGTGAGGGATCCATTACCATCCCTTCCAAATATGGGGGGGTCTCGTTTTTGGGGTATGACTCCTTGTGGATGATGTTGGGAAACCACAGGAAACCATTTGGACAGGTTTCAAGAAAAACCCAGCCCTTGACCAGCCGTGCGGCAGGGACTCCATTCCATATTGGGGGGGGGGTGTTTAGGTACCTGGGGCGGGCAATCACTGGAGATGGGATACTCATATAACGAAGGACTGGAAAGCCACTACACCAAGTCACGATTTTTTCTAATAATTCCAAGATCTCAAAAGCCTACAGCATAGCGACCCCCCCTTACCCGTGAGCTCTGTGCTTAGGGGAACACCGTTTTTGTTGATGTTGAAGGCAGGCCAAACAGACATAGCCAATTTTGGGCTGCAACACCAACCCCATATTCTCACTCGAGGGCATTTGCCAGAAACGAGTCCCTGGACATTTGGGAGATCCCCCCCCAAATTGTTATTTTTTTGGCATCGCCCTCAAAATCAAGACTCAAGTGCTGTCCCCACACAGATCGAAGCTCAGAAACAGGTCTGCAACTGCTTCGGTGATACTGGAAGGCTTTCCCAGTGTTCCCAATGACTCATTCTGCACTGAAAGGGCCTGGTGCTGTTTTATGGGTTTCAAGGTTGGGGGTCAAATCTGGCACTTGACTTTGCAGGTCCGAGTCTAAGCTGAAGTTTCACTGTTCTTTTGAATGCCGCGCCTTTGGGCGGCAAGCAGTTAAGAGTCTTAAGAGCTTGAACGTGCAATTGACATGGTCCCAGCAGCTGGGTCATACAGGGCCTCAGGAAAGCCGGTTCCGAAAAAATCGGCCAGTGCGGCTGCAAGGCTATTTTCGCCTAGGCCTTGGTGCTTTGCCTGTTTGCGCTCATGGGTGTGTTTGTCTTAGAACTCCGGTGGTCAAAGCGATCCCATAGAAAACCAAGAATTTGCGGTGGTTCCTAAAGGTTGCAACCAAGCCATTTTCTAACTTACATTACACAGGTGGATTGGCCGGACAAAGGCAACACTTGTTGGTTTTTCCCGATAAAATGATCTTCCCAAACATTGTTTCAAGTCCAGAAGCTGGGGCAAGTATGTTGGGCGCTGGAAAGGGGATCTGGAAACAGGCGAGTTTGTCCTTTTTTAAATGTCTAGCACCCGAGTACCTGTTCAACGCGTGGGCCCCTTCAAGTCCTCTTGTGAAATAATTCAGGCGTGGTTGCCTTCTTCTTGCAAATTGCCGCTCCGTGACCGCGGCGGGGAGTGGCAGGGTCAACACATGGTGCCCGAAGCCATAGGGTCTGGCCATGAGGCTGAAGCTCCACATGCAAGGTGTCTTAAAAGACTGGGATCCAAAGAATGGTGTCTTTTGTCCATTGGTGTCCCTTTCAAAGCAAAAAAGGCGCATCACCGGCCTAAGTGCTTTATTGAAGCAAACCCCAAAGTGGCAAAGAGGGACGCCTCCAGGTACTCTCGTTCCGTGGACAAAGGGGTTCCCCAAAAGCAAAATACGATTGTCGGAAGGAGGGGATGCCCATTGGGTTGATTTGCCATGATGTGCAACCATCGCTCTAAACCAGCAATGTTCCCTAGATTTCCGGAGGTCTAGAAAGAAGAATGTGGAAAGACTGGACAATTGGAAGCTACCCCAAGCTGGGATGCGCAAATGGTCCGCGGGAAAGTCCGGCCCGCGACCTAGAAGATCGGTGCCCTAAGACTGGAATCAGAAGGTATACCCCGACAAGCCCAAGCCCCAGATGTGTCGGGGCTTCGCCGCGGAACCGCGGAACCTTCCGCCGGAAGCGCCGGTTCATGGTTGTCGTTGGGAAACATCTGAACCATTTGTGCTGATGGTGGTTTAGTGGTTGAACTCCAAATCCACTTAACTGCTAAAATCTAAGAATGTTATTATTTTTTTTGCTCCCCAAGCCCAAGGTCAACCGCCGGCGGGTTTTGGTGAGGCGAGGACCAGGCGGCGTTGCGGAACAACGCCATGTCCAACCGCCTGGTGCCCCACGCCTACGCGGCCTCCCTGCTGCCCTGTGAGCCCGAGAGCTCCTTGACCTTCGACATGGCGCCTCGGCCGCGTGAGATTTTGGGGTGTGAAAACCCGGGGGTTTTCTCATTTGTTGGGGTTGGGACGGGGGGCTTTGGGGTGTGAAAACGGGAACAGAGTCTGAAAAGGCCGCGCTGGGCGCGTGGCGCATTTCTTGTTGGGGTCGGGGCGCTTTACGGGGGCTTTGGGGTCTGAAATAGGGAAAAGAGGAGCAGTGGGCCAGTGGCTCTCAAAGGCACAAGGGTAGGTATAGTGGTTTCGTTCGTGGCGTGTTCTTTGGCTCTTTGCTGTTTCTTTAGACTCTTTGGCCAACTAAGCAGCTTTTCCACCAGGGGATCGTGCCGTGAGAGTTGTTCTCCTAAATATGAAGATATGTATCCAGCTTGGCTTGGTTTGGTTTCCCGAGCCTGCGATGTTCCACGGGCTTCCCCCACTGGCAGCCCAGACACGTGGCTCTCAATTGTTCCCATTGCTCCCACAACTTACACGCACCCAACATGCGAAAATTTCCAAAAAACACCACGGCTGCAAAACTGGCTTGGGCGTTTTGAGGGCTCCCTCCCCAATTGTTGTACTCCTTTCAACGTGCGTGCTTAGGACAAAGGGTCCCCGAAGTCAACTACCCAACCACGGGGATGCCCATTCTCCCCTTTGAGGGCTTCGTATTTAATTTAGGTTGGGGAGCCCCCCCTATAAGCCACCATTTGGAGTGTAATTTTGAGGATGTCATATGTATTCCCCCATTGCTTCTGGATTTCAAAGAGGGGGTCTGAAAAATATCAGAAGTATCCATGTTTTGTTTTCCCTAGTGAGAGCATCCACGTTTTCCCCCGGTTGGAACAGCGCCAAAGTTGGCTTTGGTGGCTTGGTGGAGTATCCCCACAGGGACCCTCCCCCCAAGGTAGGGCCACCCCAACGGATTGCAGATCGCCACGTTTGGGCCACATGGGGTTTTTCTTGAAGCTCCCATGCCTTGAAGATGCGCTTTTCAAGTTGCCTTGCTTTGATGCCCAAGGAATGCCTATTGCATGGGTGGCTGGTAAGGAAACGGTCTAGAAAACGATGTCTTGTCTATCAGGCAACCTCGCTGTTGTCTACAAAAGGCATGTATGCAGGCAACCCAAGAAATCACCACACAAACCCTGATTTATGATTTGCTTCCCCTGAAAAAAACGACAAACACTGGTTTCAACCAGTGCAGCCAGGATTTTGCAACTCCATCCTTTGGTCTCCTCCCATGGTGTCAACCATGGTGCAGCTAGGATGCCACTTAAAGAAAAGATGAGCCACCCAAAGATCACCTCTTTGTGCGAGATGGTTTCCCATGGTTTCGCAACCATCCATAGGCCCCACGTTTGGAGCCACAAAAAATCGGTGCATCAAACTTGGAAAGTCGGTACATGGGTACTTTTTGGACTCGTTTTTTTTGGTCCTTCGGTTTCCTTCAGGAGAAAAATCGGTGGGTTGAAGGAGACCGTTTGGAGATCCGAAATCGGTGCATGGGGAGTGGACTCGTTTTTTTTTTGGTCCTTCGGTTTCCTTCAGGAGACGGGGTCCATGAAGAGCTCCATCCTCTCGGGGCTCTTCATCTTCAAGGCCCTTGGCTTCGCGAAGCCCGAGGACCTGGGGCTCACCGCCATCACCCACGTGGATGCCGCTCGAGCGGATTGGATTTTTTCGAGCGGATTCTTCGCGCGGAAAGTTCGCGCGGAAAGCAACCGACCGAATTCGACCGGTTTTTTGGGGGCTCGAATTCCTTGGAGGGGGGGAGTCCTTCTTAAAGGGAGGGCACGGCACATCCGCGTGGTTTTTTGGTGAGTTGTTTTAGAGGTATTTCCCTGAAGGTGCTGCAAAGGGATGCTGCAGTTAGTCTTGGTTGGTGGGTTGGATCTTGAGTCTGCAACACTTCGGTGGAAGATGTGTGTTTCCGCCCCAACTGCCCTCGAGAATGCCCAAGTCCGATCCCCAGGTTGGTCCATTTCAGTCATGGCAGGTGAACCTTTGATGTGGGCCCTTTGAGGCCACTGAGCCATGAAAAACTCCGGGTTTGGAACCCAACAACACATGCAGAACAGGGGGGTTTCTCGCACGCGAGGCTTTGGAACCTGAAACGTTACAAGACTTTGCTCACATGCATTGCCTTGTTGCCGGTTTTGTTTTGTGGGGGGTAACTGGGATCTTTGGCTGGGAAACAACGAAGTTGGGGGCTCACATGTTAGTTGGACCTGGCCGCGTGGATGATACGTCATTGTCACGCCGTTGTGAACTCACATTTCCGCATGGCATCCAGGTCCGCATAGCTTTTGGGGATGCATGTTCCACCATCGCTTCCTTTTGCTGTTTGGTTGCTGCAGTTCTTTTTCCAGCGTGGGCCTTTCGAACCGACGCTTCACTGAAACGGTGACTATCTCACTTCCCGAGTTTCTCTCCGGACTTTGCTCACTTTTTGGGCAAACCATGGGAGGAAACGAGGGGCCTACTTTGCTCGATCGAACGTGGAGGGGGGGGGGCAAGTTGTCCTTACAGTTGGGTGAAAGTAGATGGCACAAACGCAGGTTTGATCATCCCCTCGGAGAGCAGTGTCCAATCTGAGCTAAATTGCTTTATTTCAGAGCGTCTCAAAATGGACTCCCTTTTGGTGGGAAAAAGGGGAACACATGGAAATACACTTTGCAATTTTAGGGGACCTCCGCCCCCCAAAAAATGATAAAAGCAAATCCCGCGACTGTTGGGCGGGGGGGTCAATTTGGGTGTTTTGTCAACCAGTTCCCGGACTCAAGTCGTACATCTCTTGGGTACAGATCTTTTGAGTAACAAATCACACAAGTTCCTTGGCACTTTTTGGGGACCCAGCCCACTCGAGGGGAAGTGATTGAAATGTCGCTCGCACCACTCATTTTCGGGGACCCAATGAGCATAGGTGTCCTTTTGATCGGCTCATCATTCCCTGTTCTTTGGAGTTTTTTTCAAACTTTCCTTTTTGAACATGGCCACTGGAGGTTAGGGGGTTGCCCAAGAGGCCCAAGAACATACATTTTCAGGTGAGATGCATGTCCCAGGCTTCAACCCCCATTGAAAGAATAGGTAAACCCTGATCCAAAGGATCCACGTCAAAATAGGAAATATCTGGGTCGCAATGCCATTCGTCTATCCTCATGGTTCGGTCATTAATTCAAGAGTCTGTTCATTCAATCCTGGATTCGTTGGTCAGTCGCTGAAATATGTGTACATATGTATACGCGGACTTGCGCTCGTGCCCATGCACGGCGGTGCAGTGCAGTGGGCGGTCTGTTCTGGCCTGGACAGGCCTTGCGAGGTCAGCAGCGACCCTTACGGGTCGAGCAGACGTGAAAGTTGACAGCCCTTGTCGCATGTCAACTAGGCTAGCGTGGCTGCAGCCGAGAAAAAACACCCAATTTGGGGAGGGTGAACTCCAAAGGAACGAAGATTAGCCTTGGGACCCAATTTAGATGATACAATTCCTTAGGTAAATCGGTGGTTATACAAAAAACTTCTTTGATTAAATGGTAGGTAACCAAAAAAAAGACAATTGTGGTTTTTGTCCAGGCAAACCCCATTACTTATATAACCCCACTTGCACTGACCCCGAAATTCCTTGGGTAAAAGGCTGGCGGGGAAACATCCCCCCCTTTGATTCTGGTGGTGGCTGAAGCATTTCCAAGGCGATGAAGTGCCACCTGGTGGCGCAGCTGGGGCCCCGGGGGTTGACGCGCATGGGGCTGCGGTTCCTGAAGCCCAGCAGCTCGCTGAGTCAGGCGGGGGGGGGGGGTGGAGCTGGGGGAGGTGTGGGGGGGAGGTGTGGGGGGAGGGTGGGGGAGGACATTGGAAGGAAGGTGGGCCACTGAAAAGTCACAATCACCTTTGAACCTCTGTTGAGAAATCATTTTGGTGGGGGTTTATGCTCACCACTTTTTGTCACGGGCTGGAACCAACAAATTAAGCTCAGTCCCGTATGATAGAAACTCAGGACTCAAGACCGGGGCAGGCTCTTAGGACCTTTTTAGGCAGTCATGCCCGTTTGCTGACAGTCAGAATGTCAACCACTGATCCATTAACCCTCCACAGCTCTGATCCATTAACCCTCCACAGCTTATGGTGGAGGGAAGGTGGGGTGAGCCGCAGGTCATGGGTGAGCTCGCCATGAACTCATTGCATTCTACAGGCTTCTTTGAGCCACTGCTAGCTTGTCGTGGATTTGTCTCAGAATAGGGGAACCCTTTCGAATAGTTTTCGGTGGTTCCCTGTCAACGTTAACATGAACAAAGGGTACCCTGGAAAAAAGACAGGCCCATGTATAGAGTCATTAAAGCAGCAATCCCCACCTCCCCCAACCTCCCCCTGGTTTGCCACTCTGCTCCTTGGTCTGCCTGCGATACCTACCTCGGTCATGTGTGAAGAGCAGTTTCAGGGAGAGGGGTTTTAAATGTATGGAGGTTCTACCGTGGATGGATGAAAACTTGCGCCACCCAAGAAACCGTGGATGAAGCCATGGTTTGTTATTTACAGGGGGGTCATATCATTTCAGGGTTTCTCAGACGGTGCAGGATTTCCCGCATCCAATCCACCCTTCCAGAGCCCAACCTTGAATGTTGTCGCAGTTGATGAGGAATGCCCCGATTTGTTTGAGAGGGGCGGGCCATTGTGAAAGGAAGCGTTCACTTTTGGCGGCGAACCTCCAAGCCTAGCGTCTTGCTGTTTGGATCAGCGACATTTGGTTTTCGTTACATGCTATTAAACTGGACAGTGTCCAGATGCGGCCATGGTTCTTTATAGGGCACCACACCTGTAAGGCTACTTATTTTAGACAAGGCTTCCTTCAACATGTTTTCGCGGAACCACTGTCGAACCAGGGCGAAACGCGCCAGATGTTGGGCGTTTGTCACGGGGAAGGTTTATGGGTCAGCTTTCCCTGAACGTGGTTTGGATTGGTTGGTTCCCTGGATGTCGAGCGCCGCTTTTGAAATCGGAGCAACCCCCCTTCCCCCCCCCCCCTCGCGCTCCCCCAAGGTGCAATCGAACCAAGTCACCCAGTATATAGGGGTAAGGTGGTGGGCGAAATATCCTCTCACGGTTTCAGAGCGCAGCCCACAACATTGAACAATTACTATTGCACCTCACAGAGGAAAACTGAAGGTACCCTCCCACAGGTGCCATATTGGTGGAGGGGCGCATAGCCGTGAATCGCCCAACAGCTGAGGAGGTTTGCATTGGTCTCAAGAGGCCGGCCTCCTACATGCAGCTGTTGAACTGGACGGCCAATGGTGGATTTCCTTTGGGGTGTCCTTCAGAATCATCCAGAAGGTTCCCCTAAATAGTTTTTTACACTGCAAGTGCCCCTTTGCTTTTTATACTTTAGCCCTACTGTGGATGGACGCAATCCTGCACCACTTTGAAACCATGGCAACCTGGTGTTTGTTGGAATGTTACGGGGGAATCACCCTTAAGTTTCATAGGTGGTGCCTAAATGGATTTCGCAACCATCCACGGCATTCCAATCCGATTCCTGGACCAAAGCTTGCCCTGCCTTGGATCTGGAGCCATTCCCATCGCGCCGTCAGGAGTTGGCCTCAGCCTGCAACATTGGCGTGGAGGTGGGGAAGGGTATGGGTCAAACAATTTCATTCCCTGAGTACGTGAACTCAGACTTTTGACTTTTTGGTTTGGACCGTTTTAAACTGCTAAACCAACAGTTCGGGTACTTTTTTCGGACCAATCCACTCAGAAAGTGAGAAATTCAACCAGGGGACCGAAATGGATCCGCGTGTTGGCATCGTTTGAGTTATAGCTACGCTTCTCGGCGCTGCGTGCCCGAAGCCTATTTCGGAAGGCGGGTCAACCCACACAAGGGGTACAAACGGGGCAAAGGGTTAGAAACATGTATTTACTTGGGGCGGATGCCCAAGGGGCACATCAAGTCTTCGCCTGATTTTAGAGGCAAGAGACTTGGGACCTGGCACACCCTCAGCCAAGTAATGTCAACATGACCAAAGATCGTCAAGAGACTGACCATGCCACGATGGGGGGGGGGTCCAAATACATATAAATAAATATATATATATATATATGTATATATACACATATATGGATATATAACAAGCCCCTGACATCGTCGTCCCAGCACATGCCGCTATCAGGGCTTCCCCGAGGGACTTGGTTTGGTAAGAACTATGTGAATACCTTACAGGCATGACCTTGGAAACCATAGAGCAACAAAGGTCAAGAACACAGCTAACGTTCCGACTGTTTATGTTCCGACGAAGCATTGATAGAGTTTCCTTGGCAAAATAAGGGGAGCCACCCGTGCAGGTTCTACAAGAAGGAAGTTGTTATGACTCATTACTGGTAGGAAAGCAAGTAAGCTTGTATATACATGACCAATTAAGTCGATCATGCTTAGACATTTGCCAACCGCTTTTGCTGGTTTAACCCACTTAGTGAGCAGGTTTTAATCATGAAAATGGGGCTTACCCCATTTACTATCATAGCCATAGTCACAATCTACTTAATACCTGAGGGGGGTTGAACATCCCAATCAGTGGAGTTCCATTTGGTCTCCCCCGAAATACTCCGAAGTCAACATTAAGCCTGCTAGTTGCGTGCCTGGGAAGGGTTTTGTTTGGGGTTGGGTGGGGTGGGGTGCGGTGGGGCAATCAAGTGGAACGAGACCTTTCTCGAGTCTCCACTTTGCTCCAAAAGGCCAGGGTCACACACACACACACACTTCCAACCAAACAGATCCAACAGATTAAGACAGCCAAAACATTAAAGTACGCTATACTGTCAACAATTCAAGTAAGTGATCAATTCACACCACGCAGACCAAACAAACATCACAAATCAAACTAAACCCAGCATGGTTTCGCTGGACAAATCCAACATCAAGCCAATCTCGCAAAGAAAGTCGAGCTCTTGTCCAACTAAGTTTCACGTAAAAGCCAAAGAAGGCAATCCCGTGTGCCAAAGTCAGGCAAGGTTCCACTTTTTGTACGAAGCCATACTTCAAGGTATTCATTGCCCCAAAAGAGAAGCCCTTGAAGCCAACAGGTGATTACTCCCCTGTACGTCAACTGAAGGAACTCAAAATTGGGGTACGGGACCCAAGGGGAGATTCCAATCCTCAGAATATTTTTTGGCCTTGTCCATGGAACATCTCTACCCCCCTTGAAACTGGAATTGGGAGGGGGGTTAACCCCTGGAATTCCATTTATGGTTCCAGTGTTCCTTCATGGGAAGACTAGAGGAATCAAATTGGGGACTCTCCACCCGCCGAAGGTGGGCCACTGAAAGCCTGCCAGGACGTTCTTGAGGAGGTGGAGGCAGAGTTGCGAGTGCAGCCCTACTTCGTAGAATACGCGGCGGAGAAGAGGGGGTATACCATCACGGTGGGCTACGTTTTGTGACGGAACAGCTGGGTTTGCCCTTTTTTCCGACCTCTCCTGAGGGCTCCTTTTCAGTAAGCGGCAGAAACGCAGAGCCTCTAAATGTGTGCTGTTTCTTGTTTTGTTGGGTTTGGGCCTAAAAAACGAAGGTGTAAGCAGTGGATAGTGGATGCCGGGCCCCTCTAAACATTTGTTGCTTCTGTTAATTGTTGGGTTCGGGGTCCCCCTTTCCCAACAGGAAGCAACTGGGATGTTTTTCAGAGTTCCGTGTGAGGGAGTGTCTCTTGTTTGACCCCCTCGCTTGAGGTCTCACTAGATTCCCCCCCTTAGGTTGTGTGAAGATGATGTGTGAAGCTTTAAGCAAACGACTGACGAGCCACACATCAAACAGGGCTCTCAGGGTAGGTAGCATATGTGTATGACATTCACCTAAGCCACGCGAACGGTGTCCCATGTTCTGTTTTGTTCTTTTTGGTTTTCCTTTTTGCTGATGTCGAATCGGATATAGGCGTGGTTCGCGCAGGGGCACAATCCCTATGTCCAACTCCCTTGAAAGGGCTGTGTTGGAGAAAGGACACTCCTTGCCATTTTTCCTTTTTTGGGGGAGGGGCCATTTAAACAAAGGATTCCACTCGAGAGAACTCGATTGAATGGGGTCAGAAGGCAAACCCGGACGGCCGCTTCGATTCGTGCCCACGTTTCACCAGAAATTGGCGTGAAACACGCCGGCCGGAGATCCAGGGTGTTCTTGCCCCACTTTCGGAGCCTCAGACGGCCCCATAAATTTCACAAGCCGAGCCTCAAGGCAGATGGCCGACGCGTCACTGACCCGTCGCGAAAGGGGCCTCGTTCAATTTTTGTTCGTGGAGCGAATTTGGTAAAGAGCAACTACCAAGCTAACGTCCAAACTTTGTCAGGCGACTTTCCAGCTTACAGTCTCAAGGTGATGAATCTTTAAGTGGCGCAAGCAACAGTCCAATTCGCAAAACCCCCAGCTTGGCCCCAGCTTCCATCCCAAGTTCAATTCAAGCAACGGGCTTGGCTACCCGGGTGTCCGCACGGACCGAATCAATCCGCGAAATCCTTCTCGCGGCGGGCTTTGCGGATCTCACTGGCTGAAAGTGGAAGAAAGGACAAAGGCGCGCTGCTCACCAACCAAAGAGAATCGACCTGAAATAACCTTTTGGGTTCCCCATTTTTAGTCACGGCCCCAAAAGGTGGCAGTTACGCTGGGTTGACTTTTATTAAAATCACTTTCATTTGCTCAATAATATACAAATATATATATATATATATGTTTATTGTCCCCTTCTTCCATTTGCTCAATGATTTATTTGTATATGTGTGTTTATTGTCCCCTTCTTGGTTCAGGGGGCGAAAGAGCAAATGGGAGATTCTGGGCCAGCTTCGGTTCCATCATTTGGGGTTCCCGCTTGTGGCCTCACCTCTCTGATTGCCAGCTCTGCGAACCGACATGAATATCCTTTTCGGGGGCCCGGAACTTGGGGTGGTACTTTGGGCAACTTGCCTCGAACGCCCGAGTTTTGAGGGTGGTACTTTGGGCCCCTGAATCGTATGCGTGCGGCCGGCGAGGCTTCATGATGTCGCCTCCGGCTTGTTTGTGGATCGGTCGGAAGCCTCAGCCGTTGTTTTCCTCCTGAGAGCCAAACAAACTGTTGCTACCACACCCAAAAGGGGGCGGGGTGGTATGCGGGCCTGGCATATCCATTTATTAATCGGTTTCTTTGGTTTGATGTCCTGTTTGAGAACCTTGAATGCACTTTGACGAATCACATGTCAAGGGGTTCCCTAGTTGGTCAGACTGGAAATAAGCGGACTGCCCATTGCACACTGGGTGTAAGCATCATGTCCTCCGCAGGGGAGCAAAAGCCGGCCCATACGGGCGGATCCAGTTTGGTTTTCGTTTTCAGGGTCCTTCCGGACCTCTTCGAACTGTGTACATGATTGAACAGGTTCCCCTCACTTGGTGGCTTGGAATTGGAATTGACTAACCCCTTTGCAGCACGGCAGTGCGTCCAAGTTGGACTTCCAATCGCCAGCCTCAACTTTCCTTTTCGCCCTTTCGCCCTTTTGGTTCCTTCACTTTCCCAATCAACCAGCCACAAACTAACTTTTTGCAGGGGGTCCGTTTGGCCAGGTTAATTATTTGGGTGCAGACCGTACACGCCCACATGGGGGTCCAAGGTTACACAGGTCGGAGAGTGGATGCCTTTCCCGCGTTGTTTCCTGCCTATGCTTGTTCACACCAATCTGCCTATCCCCACCCCTTAAAAATGGATTGGGGGAAGGGGGGTGACCCCTGGGATTCCGTAAACCGAATCCATGTTCCCTTGTCTGGGGAAGACTAGGTCAATGGAGTTGGGGACCCCACCCCTCCGGGGATATCCGCCCTGTGTCCACCATTCCCATGCTTCCTGGTGGGCAAATGGTAAACATGTGCAACTTACTCCCAAGGTCTGGACTTCCAACTTCGAGGTCCCCCAGTAGTGCCCTTTTACCAGCTTTTGGGAGGGTTCTACTGAAATAGACAGAACCAAGTTGGTGCCCTTATTCTAACTCTACTGGAGGACCTAGAACAAGTTCGGACTTGTTCTGATGATCGGAGAAGTGAGCGAGGAGCAGGCAGAGCCCTGAGTTCCTGTTCGGCCTGGTAGCCACGTCCTCAAAACCCGGCAAATGAAGGTTCAGGCACAATGCCAACCAATAGGTCCGGCTGATAGCCGGTTTTGGGTAGACCTCTTTGGTAGTTACCAAATGCCTGGAGACCATTTGGCAGGTGTTTCTTCGTCGTGGCTTTGACCGAACACATGGTCATGTTTTTTGTTGCTTTCATTATTTTTTTTGTTTTGCGTGTCTTTGGACAACATGTTGAAAAGAAACAGGTTTCATTCGGGTCCTGTACGCAATTGACCGGATGGTCATACGGGCCATATTTGGCCTACTAGTGGGGGGGGGTTTGACCGAACAACCGATTCGGCCCATCACGGGGTGCCAGGTGTTGAGGGTATTTGTGACCTGCCAGGCAGACCCCGGAGCCCGTCAGCCGCTTGGGGCTCTTTGCGAGCCCGCAACTTGGCGAGAAAAAATAGTTGGGCGGCGGTAGGTCATATCCCAGTAATTACTTGTTTTTTTCCGTTTTGTTTTGGAAGGGTTCCCCTTCAAAGTCAACCAACCAAAAAAGGATTCCCTTTTTTCCCCACTGCGATATGTACTGGGCCAGCTCCGTTTGTCAGAGCCAGCACCCTCCCTCAATGTGACTTTAGGCAGCTAGTGAACGGATGTGTTTTGTGGTTTGCTCCGGTTTCCGAGCAGCTCTTCCTTCTTTGCCCCTCCGAGCAAGACAACCTCTATGAGAGAAATTGGTTTTTCCCAAAGGCGGGGTTGTAACCGAACACAGTTAAAGCACTTTCTTGGTTTAAGTGTGTGTTTATTATTTTTCTTGGGGGAGTGGCGCGAAACCAAGTTTTAGCAACATGGGGAGCGGCAACTCTGCGAGGGTATCTTAGGCAGCCTCTGTGTTTCTCATGTTCGACGACTTTCAAAATCAGCTGGGCCAGTTTGAAGTGGGGATTGGTCAGGGCTTACCCGACTGATCAACTTCCATTTGCTGAAGTATATTATTGTTATTTCCCCTGTTGATTTTAAAGGGAATCGAATTCACTACTGTACTCTCTTTTGTTTTCCAGGGTCTGAACCAAATGGAAGCTGATCACCGGTAGTTTCCCTTTGGCCCGAGGATGGTGGACAAGGACTCGAAGGAGGAGGACCCGACAAGTTGAGTTTTCTGTTTTTTGGTGGGTTGATTGGGGGACAGCCCAGGAAACGCAGGACACCACGAGGATTGGCAGCAGTGCCATCCGTTTCCAATGTTTGACCAGTCTGGTGTTTGTTTGAGTTTCGAAGTGTGGCCGCCGTATTTTCCCTGAGTCCCAAGCCCCTGCAAAGCAAACACCAGTACCATTGAACCATGGAAGATGCCAAAAAACACAAGAGAACTACCCGCAGGTTGGAGCATCTTGCATAGCCGGATTCGTTCTGCAGACCTCCTGGCATTTGTCGGTGCTAGGACCTGGCTTCACGTCGAAAGAAGCTCAGGCAGACTGGACCTGGGCTGGTGCAAGTGATGAGACATGTTGTTGCTGAAGGAGTTGGTCATATTTGTATTGGAGTTCAGCTCTGAGGGTGATCTTCCCTCATTTTTGGTCGACGCTCTTGCCAGCATTTGATCCTTAGGCCGTTTTTTTTTTTTTCCCGGAGTCGTGGCTGGTCGGGCATGCGACCATTCTTTGTCGGAGCCAGGGTTGTGCAGATACCAGGTTGTGAAAGGGATGCTGCAGGCAATTGAAGCTGATTACATACCACGCTTGAGAACGATGTTGGGGGAAGGAGCCATTCAAAGTTCCATCCTTTTGCACGGAAGACTGAATATTGTCTTGCACAGAAGGCTCAATACTCCCCAACAAACTAACATGGAGCCTGCAAGGGGACCCCCACACGAGTTTCCTCTACAACTCCCAATTTGGGTTCCATGTCAACCCGTGGGGGGGCGGGGGGGGTGTAAACCAAATTGGTGGCCCCAGCGCTTGTAATTACCGAAGGATCCTGACCCAACCCTCAAGGGATAGCATGGTACAATACTTTATCAATGTCCCCAATTATCCCCAACGTCTTCGCACCTCTACTAAGACACCTCTTTTCATACATTTCCCTTGGTGGATAAATGGACAATCATGTAGAATGAGGGGGGCCTCATGATTTCCATGGTGTGGGGATATGGTCGGGCTGTCGGATTTAAGTCTTGGGCACATTTGCATTTGTTTGTTTTCAAATCTTCCTGTTGGGTTGCCAGAGGATCACCACACCAATCAATCGGCAGACGGAGTCCTGTAGATGAAGGTGGCTTTTGTTTCCGAGGAAGCCCTTTTTGGGGACTCAAGCTGAACCCAAACTCAGTGGGTGTAACACCCTCATTCCTTTTCCGTTGGGTAAGCTAGTCTTTG